GAACGCTGGATCGGTTTGGCTTAGTGGCTCTATTCCGACAATGTCCTATGGTCACGAGCCTCTGGTTCGCAGTTCCTCTTGCTTGTGTGTGTGCTGAAAGAGCATTCTTTTCTTGGTTTAGAAGGCAATCTGGATAAATTATGAAGAGACTCCATTAATACACAGTAAGAGACGTAGGTTAAAGAACAGACGCATCTCAAAGCGTTTAACATTACGCAGCTAAAGAACTTGCCTACTCAAGAAGATGTTGACATTGCTACTCTCTGGATCATCATGAACCTCTTCAATGTGGTATCGTGGATTCTGCAATGAAAATATAAGACATATGTTCGAAGATCTGTAATAATACCTATGCATCTTATAAGCAACAAATATCTATTAAGCCCACGAACTCTTGAAAGGGGAAGCCACCACAGTCTATTGAAACCGTCTGAGCCTTTTTTGCAATCATCTCTGTTGAGATCTCTTCACTCCGCTGGTGGAGCTGAAGCAGACGGCTGACAACATCCTTCTTCGTCGGTGACTGCAATTGCCTTTTCAGATCTTGATATTGGAGACGGCTCGGTTTTAGAGTCTGATCCGACCCAGATTCTGAATCGAAATCTTGCTGCTTCGCAGCGGTAACACTGCCGGGTTCTTTGGGTTCGTATTCTTCAAAGATCTGTCCGTCATCTTCCTCAAGCAACGAAGAGGAAATGGAAATATCATCGCGAAAAGATGACGAACAGATCTCTGAGGAAGATGAACCCAAGGAACACGACACGGTCAATGCTGCCGCGAAGCAACTGGATTTCGATTCAGATTCGGGTCGGAGAATGAGATCGGATATGACGAAGATGTTCACCGGTGATTGCAAAAAGGGCTAAGAGGGTTTCAAAAGACGATGAGAAAAAGACTATGGCGGCTTCTCCTTTCAAGAGTTTATGGGACTTGAGTCATGTGGGCTTAGTAAGATATCAGGTTTAGCTACTCGTCTTCCAACTTCTAAGGATACTTATTATCAGTGCTCTTAAGGTCGATTAAGCACAATCTTTCGAGTGATTCGAAGCATCCAACTAATTCAAGCAAGGAGATTAGACAATAGAGGTACTCACATTGTCTGAAACTGCTCCTGAA